AAAACACAGCAGGGACAGCTTCAGGGTGACAGAAACCCCAAAAGAGCACAGAACCCACAGCTTCAGGGCCACAGAAATCCTAAAACTGAACAGAACCCACAGCTTCAGGGGCACAGAAATGCCAAAACTGAACAGAACCTACAGTTCAGGGGGACAGAAATCCCAAAACTAAACAGAACCCACTGCAAAATACAGCAGGAACAGCTTCAGGGTGACAGAAATCCCAAAACTGCACAGAACCCACTGCAAAGCACAGCACCCAGTGAAAAACAGAGCAGGGACAGCTTCACGGTGACAGAAATCCCAAAAGTGCACAGAACGCACAGCTTCAAGGCAATAGAAATCCTAAAACTGCACAGAACCCACAGCTTCAGGGTCACAGAAATCATAAAACTGAACAGAACCCACTGCAAAACACAGCAGGAATAGCTTCAGGGTGACAGAAATCCCAAAAGAGCACAGAACCCACAGCTTCAGGGCCACAGAAATCCCAAAACTGCACAGAACCCACGGCAAAACACAGCACCCACTGTAAAACAAAGAACTCACACCTTGAAATCACAAAAGAGCACAGAACCCACAGCTTCAGGGCCACAGAAATCCCCAAACTAAACAGAACCCACAGCTTCAGGGCCACAGAAATCCTAAAACTAAACAGAACCCACAGCTTCAGGGCCACAGAAATCCTAAAACTGCAAAGAACTCCGCTGCAAAATACAGCAGGCACACCTTCAGGATGACAGAAATCCCAAAAGTGCACAGAACCCACAGCTTCAGGGCCACAGAAATCATAAAATTGAACAGAACCCACTGCAAAACACAGCAGGAACAGCTTCAGGGTGACAGAAATCCCAAAACTGAACAGAACCCAAAGCTTCAGAGCCACAGAAACCACAAAACTGCACAGAACCTGCTGCAAAACACAGCAGAGACAGCTTCAGGGCCACAGAAATCCTAAAGGAGCACAGAAATCCCAAAGGACCCACACTTTCAGGGTGATAGAAATCCCAAAGCAGCACAGAACCCACTGCAAAACACAGCAGGCACAGCTTCAGGGCGACAGTAATCCCAAAACTGCACAGAACCCATAGCAGCTTCTGGGCCACAGAAATCCTAAAACTGCAGAGAATCCTACTGCACCGACACCTTCAGGGTGATAGAAATCCCAAAAGTGCACAGAATCCACAGCTTCAGGGCCACAGAAATCCTAAAGCTGCACAGAACCCACTGCAAACTACAGCAGGCACAGCTTCAGGGTGACAGAAATCCCAAAAGAGCATAGAACCCCACTGCACCCACACCTGCAGGGTGACAGAAATCCTAAAACAGCACAGAACCCACAGCTTCAGGGTGACAGAAACCACAAAACTGCACAGAACCTGCTGCAAAACACAGCAGGGACAGCTTCAGGGCCACAGAAATCCCAAAGGAGCACAGAAATCCCAAAGGACCCACATTTTCAGGGTGACAGAAATCCCAAAGCAGCACAGAACCCACTGCAAAACACAGCAGGCACAGCTTCAGGGCGACAGTAATCCCAAAACTGCACAGAACCCACTGCAAAACACAGCAGGCACAGCTTCAGGGCGACAGTAATCCCAAAACTGCACAGAACCCATAGCAGCTTCAGGGCCACAGAAATCCTAAAACTGAACAGAACCCGCTGCAAAATACAGCAGGAACAGCTTCAGGGTGACAGAAATCCCAAAACTGAACAGAACCCACTGCAAAACACAGCAGGGACAGCTTCAAGGCCACAGAAATCCCAAAGGAGTACAGAAATCCCAAAGGACCCACACTTTCAGGGTGACAGAAATCCCAAAGCAGCACAGAACCCACTGCAAAACACAGCAGGCACAGCTTCAGGGCGACAGTAATCCCAAAACTGCACAGAACCCACTGCAAAACAGAGCAGGGACAGCTTCAGCGTGACAGAAATCCCAAAAGAGCACAGAACCCACTGCACCCACAGCTTCAGGATGACAGAAATCCCAAAGCACACAACACCAAGCCCTCTCCCCATTTCACCGGGGTGAAGCATTCCCAGCTGACATCGCCATTAAAAAACAGCCACTAAAGGTTTCACCCCAAATACACTCAACTACCCCAAAAACCCCAAAAAACCCAAAAACCCCAAAAAACCTCTACAGAAAAGGATCCCTCACCTCGTCGAGATGATTTCTACATCATACTCAGTTTTTCCTGCTATTTTTCCCCAACAATATGGATTTTTAGAAAATCATTTGTTCACCCTAAACAAATAATTTTTTATACCCTGCTCATTTTAGACAGCACAACTCCAGATATTTGTTTTTTATTTTTTAATTATTATATTTATTATCATCTAGTTGTGAWGATTTCTACATCATACTCAGTTTTTCCTGCTATTTCTTCCCCAAAACATATTTTTAGAAAATCATCTGTCCTCCCTAAACATTTAGTTTCTTTACCCTGCTCATTTTAGACAGCAAAACTCCAGACATTGTTTTTTTATTTTCTAATTATTGTATTTATTATCRCCTAGTTGTGATGATTTCCACATCRTACTCAGTTTTTCCCACTTAWTTCTTTCCCAAACAATACATATTCTTAGAAAAATACTCAGTTTTTCCTACTTATTTCTTYCYCAAACAATACATATTCTTAGAAAACAACTGTTCCTCTCTAAACATTTATTTTTTTTGCCCTGCTGTGTTTAGACCACAAATCTCAAGAAATTTATTATTTTTTTTTTTTAGAACAGCCTGTGGTCCAGCCAGTCTCAAGACAAGCATTAAGAGGGGTGTGCTCAAACACCTGGGGTGACTTCAGTGACCCCAAAAATTCAGTTCCTAAAACCCTTCAGTTCCTAAAAGCACCACTGCAGTACCAAACCCCGGTGTTTTCCCAGCTCCAAAAAGGAAGATTTCTAATAAAAATCCATTTCCACAAGCTCAAGGAGGCAGATGAAGCAATAAAACACCAGCACCCTGTTTTGGTATCCTTTGTAATCATTAAATTAGTTTTAAATCCTCAGCAGAGCTGCAAAAAAGTTACAACACAAGCCCAACTGACATTTCAAAACCCCCRTAAAGGTTTGAAATCCTATTTATAACTCAGGTAGTGGCTCCCACTTCACAGAAGTGTCATTTGATCTTAAATCAAATTTTTATACAATTTACTGAGAGGATAATCTTCAAGAAGCTTTCCAAGCCATGGGGTATTTTTATACACTGAAACAACTTGGAGAAGTGTAATTAAATGGTGGGAATTCAATTAGGACAGCAGGACTTATTTCGGGGAGATTAATTACATTAGGAGTGGAGTAGCATTAATTTTTTTTTCAAGTGCTGAAATTAATGATGGCTTCAGAACACAGGAGATTCACTGCAGGGTGACAATAATCCAACAAAAAATTCCCTTTCTTGTCAAATCCAAACCCATCTCAAGAGCAGGAGTTTATTCAGTTTATTCAGTTTATTCAGTTAATTCGGTTTATTCAGTTAATTCGGTTTATTCAGTTAATTCGGTTTATTCAGTTAATTCGGTTTATTCAGTTAATTCAAACACTGACCCCAAAAACTTGTGTTCCTAAATATCTCCACCTACATACAAAAATTCCTATTTTCCAACTCTTTTCACATCTCTGATYTGCAGCACMGAAATCTTTTGTAATTCTTTAGCTGCTTTAACATTCAAGAGTACTGAAAGTGTAAACCACAAGTATAAAAAAGTAACTTTGAGCTCACTTAATAMCCCAAAAAGTTTAAAGTTTAAAATKAAATGTTTAAAGGTTTAATAGCCTAAAATAAAATGTTTAATTTTAATTATAAAATTAAAATAAATGGAGACCAAGTTGAGCAGGAGTCAATAGCACGTTCTTCACAAAATAACTACTTTTGCAGCAGCTCCATGCACCAGAGTTTTCAATACACAGTGAAATCTTTCTCACATTCAGAATTTTGAGATTTTCTTAAAAATTCTGCAGGGAATAGCGGTTGAAAGCCATCTAGCAACTGATGGGTATATATTTCCAGAAAAAAAAAATTCAGATATTTACCGCTAAAACCACTCCATCCAGAGCACAACCAAATCTGATTTTTGGAGCTGTCTTGGGCCAAACACACAAAATATTTCAATGAAAATCA